AAACAGCACGCGGGTGACACGTGTTACCCCGAAGGCCGCGTGAGAAAACCCAGTTGTTTCATTCACATTCTGGACGCCAACGAAGGGCCATGTGAGGTGGAACAGCACGCGGGTAACACGTGTCACGTCGACAACCGCGCGAGAAAAACAACCAGCGTTTCACGCGTATCCTGGTCACCAGCATGGGGCCATACAGTGTGAAACAACTCGCAGGAGACACGTGTCACCGTCAAAACCGCGTGAGAAAAACTAAGCGTTTCCTTCGTAGTCTGGGCGCCAACATGGGTCCATGCAATGTAAACAACACACGGGTGATAAGTGTCACCCCGAAAGCCGTGTGAGAAAGCCCAGCAGTTTCACTCGTATTCTGGTCGCCAGAAACAACACGCGGGTGACACGCGTCACCCCCAAAACCATGTGAGAAAAACTAGTTGTTTCACTCGTATTCTGGACGCCAACATAGTGCCATACAATGTGAAACAACACACGGGTGACACGTGTCACCCCGAAATCCGTGTTAGAAAAACCATTCGTTTTACTCGTAGTCTGGTCGCCAACATGGGGCCATACAGTGCGAACCAACACGCGGGTGACACGTGTCACCCCGAAAACCGTGTGAGGAAAACCGATTGCTTTACTCGTATTCTGGACGCCAAAATGGAGCCATAATATGTGAAACATCACACGGGTGACACATGTCAGCCCGAAAACCGCCTAAGGAAAAAATGCGTGTTTCACGCGTATCCTGGTCGCCAACCTGGGGCCATACAGTGTGAAACAACACGTGGGTGACACGTGTCACCTCGAAAAATCGAATCGTGTGAGAAAAAACAACAGCTTCAGTCGCATTCTGGACTCCAACGAAGGGCCATACGGGGTGAAACAGCACGCGGGTGACACCTGTCACCCCGAAACTTGTGTCAGAAATACAGATTTTCTCACTCGTATTTTTGGCTGTTATTTTGGTCGCCAACATGGGGCCAAACAATGTGACACAACACGCGGGGGACACGTGTCACCCCGAAAACCGTGTGATAAACACAAAATGTTCCCATGTTATTCTGGACGCCAAGATGGGGCCATACAGTACGAAACAGCACACGTGTGACACGTGCCACCCAGAAAACCAAGTGATACATTATCGTGGCGAAGGGCCCAACCATATGTAGTTTTGAGAAACGCGGTGTGGGTGCCGTTTCCGGTGGGCCACGCAGCGCGTGATGGGGCGTGCGGTAGTGGGTGGGGGGGGTGCATGCGGGTGGTCCCACTGAGGCCTTCGGTGAAGCTCCCTGTGGGGCCACGACGCGCTGTGCTGGGTTGTGGAGCCGCATGCGGGCGGTGCCACTGTGGCCTTCGGTGGAGCCCCGCTATGGGGCCACGAAGCGCTGTACTGGGTCGGGGGGGCGCGCGCGGGCGGTCCCACTGGGACCTTCGCTGGAGCTCCATATGGGGCCACGAAATTCTGTACCGGGCGTGGCGGGCGCATGCGGGCACCCCCACTGGAGCCTTCGGTGGAGCTCCCTATGGGGCCACGAAGCGTTGCATTGGGTGATGCGGACGCATGCGGGCACCCCCACTGGGGCCTTCGGTGGAGCTCCCGATAAGGCCACGAAGCGCTGTGCTGTGTGGCGGGCGCATGCGGGCACCCTGACTGGGGCCGTCGGTGGCCTCCTTATGGGGCCACGAAGCGCTGTATTGGGTGGAACGGGCACCCTCACTGGGGCCGTCGGTGGAGCTATGGGGCCACGAAGCGCTGTGCTGGGTCGGGGGGACGCGTGCGGGCCCCCCCCCCTGGGGCCGTCGGTGCATCTCCCTTTGAGGCCACGAAGCGCTGTACTGGATGGGGGGACGCATGCGGGCACCCCGACTGGGGCTGTCGTTGGGGCTCCCCACGGGGCCAAGAAACGCTGTGCTAGATGGGGGGGACGCACGCGGGCACCCCCACTGCGGCCTTCGGTGGAGCTCCTTATGGGGCCGCGAAACGCTGTGGCCAGACCCGCGACGCCAGCAGCGTTCACGTCGCTAGCTAGGGGGGCCGCGGCGCCACAGGCGCCCCCAGCGCCTCCCCCGCCGATCGCCGACGTTCGGCACCACCGTCGGCTGCGCAGGCAATCCCATGGCCGTCTCGTCGTCCCGCCGCGCCTGGGCTATCGTCGCCGCCAGCGGGATCGCTCTGAAGCGATACTCGGCGTCGCCTCCGACGCCAGCGGCGCCACCAGCGCAGACGAGGCAAGCAACGATGTCCGGCCTCCGAGCACAACCTCCATGTACGAGGCGCCATCAGGCGTGAGGATGCCACCGCCCCCCACGGCGCGGCAACGGCGAGCGTCAGCACAAGCCTCTCGTGCCACATCTGGGCCCGCCGACGTTGTAACGGATCAGGATGCAGTCCACAGGCTGCACGCCCAGGCCCGTCAGCGGATGCACCGCCGCCATCATTGCGCCCGTGGTGAAGCCTGTCGGGCCTTGGCGGCGGCTGCTTGCTCGCGCGCCAAATCCCCAACGCTGGCAACTGCTGGCGCCCTCCACGGAGCGATCGCGCCCGTCCTCGGCTGCAGCAGCGAGTGGCCGAACGCGCCGACGAGGATCCCCGCGCTGAAGACGGTGAGCAGCGTCGCGTATCCGAGGAGCGCCTCAATCCACGACGCCCCTGCGACCACCGAGGGCGAGCCGTCGCCACTTGCACACACAGGCTGGGCACTCCGTCCGAACCGCAGGGACAGTCGCGGCGGTGCACTGCTGATCGGATCGATTCTCCGAAGAAATACTGGAAAGCAGCCTGCATCAACTTTGCACGTTGAGCGCCGACGGCGACGGAAGTCGTCGCCGCGTGGCCCTCCCACGCTTCAGCTAGGCAAGCTATTGCGAACATGGTACATAGACGCATATATAATGTATGCATGCACGTAAGTCTGTATATGTGTACGTATGCATGTATGTATGTGTGCATGTATGTATGTATGTATGTATGTATGTATGTATGTATGTATGTATGTATGTATGTATGTATGTATGTATGTATGTATGTATGTATGTATGTATGTATGTATGTATGTATGTATGTATGTGTATGTATGTGTATGTATGTATGTATGTATGTATGTATGTATGTATGTATGTAGTATGTATTATGTATGTATTGTAGAGAGAGCGTGATCCACCGCCACTTTACTGTGGAAAATTGCCGCCCTTTTCCTCCGGAACCCGGGGGTCCCCCCCCCATCCCTCCGAAAATCCCCCCCCCCTGCTGGAACCCCTCCCCCCCCCCCCTTCCCCCGGCAAAACCCCCCCCCTCCCCTAACCCCCCCCCCCCCTCGAGCTCGAAAACCGGGGGGGGTCACTACCGGTTCGAACCCCCCCCCCTCGAAAACCGGAGGGGGGGGTCACTACCGGTTCGAACCACTGAGCTGTCCCACTGTTCCCACCACTGTCCCCACTGTCCCTACCACTGTCCCCACTGTACCTCTGTCCCATTGTCCCACCGCCGTCCTCGCCACCGCCTTCACCACTGTCCCCACCACCACTGTACCCTCCACTGTCCTACTGTTTCCACCACATTCCCACTGTCCCCACACCACTGTCCCCACCACCACCGTCCCCACCACTGTCCCACTGTCCCCACTGTTCCCACCATTGTCCTCACCATTGTCCCCACCACTACCGTCCCCACCACTGTCCCACTGTCCCCACCACTGTCCCGCTGTCCCCTCACCACTGTCCCCACCACCACCGTCCCCACCACTGTCCGCACCCCCCCTCGGTTTTCGAGGGGGGGGGGGTTCGAACTGGTAGTGACCCCCCCCGGTTTTCGAGCTCGAGGGGGGGGGGGGGTTCGAACCGGTAGTGACCCCCCCCCTTTTCATGATGAACTGGGGGGGGGGGTGGAGGGGTTCGAACTAGTGAGGGGGGGGGGGAGGAGGGGTTCGAACCAATAGTGGCCCCCCCCCGGTTTTCCGGAGGGGGGGGGGGAGGGGTTCGAACCGGTAGTGACCCCCCCCGGTTTTCCGCTAGCAGCGGTAGAACACGCTCTTTCGTATGTATGTATGTATGTATGTATGTATGTAGGTAGGTAGGTAGGTAGGTAGGTAGGTAAGTAGGTAGGTAAGTAGGTAGGTAGGTAGGTAGGTAGGTAGGTAGGTAGGTAGGTGTGTATGTGTGTATGTATGTATGTCTGTATGTATGTATGTATGTATGTATGTATGTATGTATGTATGTATGTATGTATGTATGTATGTATGTATGTATGTATGTGTGTATGTATGTATGTGTGTGTATGTATGTATGTGTGTGTATGTGTGTATGTGTGTATGTATGTATGTATGTATGTATGTATGTATGTATGTATGTATGTATGTATGCATGTATGTATGTATGTATGTATGTATGTATGTGTGTATGTATGTATGTACGTACGTACGTACGTATGTACGTATGTACGTATGTACGTATGTACGTATGTACATGTATAAACACATAAACAACTATTGATATGCATATACTATTGCTATGCTATTGCTAATGCCCCTGCGACACGCTGCGCCTTGCAAGCCGACAGCGCGTCGCTCCGCTCCGCGGGGCGGGGGGGCGGGGGAAAGCTCAGGACGCTGACGTCTGGGGACTGGGACGTGGCCAGCGTGCCGCGCCGAAGCGCGGTGGGCCAGAACCCCCGACTCGTATGGCGCTCTCAAACCCGTGCCTTTCTTTCAGTGGCTCTGTCCAGCTTTCGGCCTCCGGGGCCTCCTCAGGACAGCTCTTGACTGAAATGGCTAAGGCATGAAGTCCGCAAGTGTGCATATGACACGCGACTGGCTGAAATGCTGTGCGGCAGGCGAGTAGATATACACACGCAAACGACTACAGACAATCCCCCTGTACCTGACCTTGTGCGCTGCTGGTGCCACTGCGCGCTCAAGCAGAGCGCCAGAGGGCGTCAGCCCACGAGCAAAACCTCGGCAGGCGCTGGCGCAGCCGAGGGTGAAACAAACCAAAAAGGGGCGGGCCTCGCAGAGCGGGGCGATCACGAACTCGATGAAGCCGACCTGGGAGTTGGGCCGGCTGACCTCGGCGGGCGGAGCACTTCCGGGGGCCACAGGGGGGCAGCCGTTCATGCACAAGCGATGCCTCGAGCCTCCTTGCGAAGCCATACACACACATCTCAGGCTGGCAGACCTGAGTTGGACCGAATCGCGAAACCAGGTCCGATCGGAAACCGACTGGATCGCCAGCGAATCAACCCACTTGAGAAGTTGGATTGCAATGTTCGGCTCCGGCTGGCCCCGGCCAATGCTGGTGAATCAATGCGCCCAGCCATCCGACGATGTTACCTAACACCTAACAGCGAAGACTGATAGGTTTCTAGTGGTGTCAAAAGAGAGCATCTGATGACTCAGAAGGGAGGTCTGGGCGGCATCCGGACAGCGAGGGCCGGGCTCAGGGCCGGGCTCGTTTTAAGCAAACAGTCACACACTTCGTGCTCTTCGACCTCCCAGAACTCCATTCCCGGGCCACATTTTGAATGCCCGGAGCCAACTGTAGGCCACTTCGTGCTCTTCGACTTCCCAGAACTCCATTCCCGGGCCACATTTTGGATGCCCGGAGCCAACTGTAGGCCACTTCGTGCTCTTCGAGTTCCCAGAACTCCATTCCCGGGCCACATTTTGAATGCCCGGAGCCAACTGTAGGCCACTTCGTGGTCTTCGAGTTCCCAGAACTCCATTCCTGGGCATGATTTTGAATGCCCGGAGCCAACTGTAGGCCACTTCGTGGTCTTCGAGTTCCCAGAACTCCATTCCTGGGCATGATTTTGAATGCCCGGAGCCAACTGTAGGCCACTTCGTGGTCTTCGAGAATGCCCGGAGCCAACTGTAGGCCACTTCGTGGTCTTCGAGTTCCCAGAACTCCATTCCTGGGCATGATTTTGAATGCCCGGAGCCAACTGCAGGCCACTTCGTGTTCTTCGAGTTCCCAGAACTCCATTCCCGGGCCACATTTTGAATGCTGAGGCAGGCTGAGGCTGAGGCTGAGGCAGGCTGAGGCTGAGGCCGAGGCTGAAGGCAGACTGAGGCTGAGGCTGATGAGGCTGAGGCTGAGGCAGGCTGAGGCTGAGGCTGAGGGCTGATGCTGAGGCAGGCTGAGGCTGAGGCTGAGGCTGATGCAGGCTGAGGCTGAGGCAGGCTGAGGCTGAGGCCGAGGCTGAAGGCAGACTGAGGCTGAGGCTGAAGCAGGCTGAGGCTGAGGCTGAGGCAGGCTGAGGCTGAGGCTGAGGCAGGCTGAGGCTGAGGCTGTGACTGCGACTGCCGTTGCCACTGCGACTTTCATCGCGAATGCGACTGCGACTGCGAGAACAGCAGAATTCTACAACTGGATTCTCATGTGAATCCTAAGGGGAATGCTTCCAGATATGCTCCTCCACATCGCTGTTAGGTTGCTTTGCCGGGATACATATTTTTTCATTGCGCGGCCCCAGAGGTCCCCGCCCCTTCCCGGGTCCATTCGTAATGCCTCTCGGGGCACGAGAACAGGCCCTGGAGGCCGGAAAGGACAGCACACACGGATGGAAAAACAAGTGGTCGGAGAAAAGCAATCCGTTCTGCTGGCCCCGCGGCCCGGCCACGGGCTCCCAGAGGCCGAAATCGAGGAAAGCTGCCCAGGTTGAAGAACTATCTTTAAGTCGGGCGTGTCCCCCCACAGGGAGATCTTCGACGAAAACTTAAAGATATTCAAAAAATGCTCCCAAATATTCAAAGAATACTACAAAAGGGTCCCCAGACTATTTCCCCAAACAGCTTGCTGAACGGGGTGCTGTTGTGATAAAAGCTAACTCCGGCCGAAGGAAATCGGAGCAGAGACATCCTCACAAAAATTTGATGGTCCGGGCCGTTTCGCTTGAGACATCCTCACAACTTGCGTTTCTGAGTTGGCCGGGATTGGCCGTTTCGCCCGAAACATCCTCGAAAAGTTGCGCTCCGGGACGCCGCGCGAGCGGTGGTCTGGGCCGTTTCGCTTGAGACATCCTCGAAACTCTGAGCCCCGAGATGCCGTGCGAGAGGTGGCCCAGGCCGTTTCGCCTGAGACATCCTCGAAACTCTGAGCTCTGAGATGCCCTGCGCGAGGTGGTCCGGCCCGTTTCGCCTGAGACATCCTCGAAACTCTGACCTCGGAGATGCCGCGCGAGAGGTGGTCCGGCCCGTTTCGCCTGAGACATCCTCGAACTTCTGAGCTCTGAGATGCACTGCGCGAGGTGGTCGAGGTCTGAGCGGCCTGCGCCTCGCTGTTCATCAGACATGAGATGCCGTGCGCAAGGTGGTCCGGCCTGTTTCGCACAAGACATTCTCGCAACTCTGAGCTCCCAGATGCCGCGCAAGAGGTGGTCCAGCCTGGGGGCCCAGAAGACCACATGTTACATATCCTCCCTGGGACCCTGGGAGCCCGCCTGAGACATCCTCGAACTTCTGAGCTCTGAGATGCCCTGCGCGAGGTGGTCCGGTCCGTCTCGCCTGAGACATCCTCGCAACTCTGAGCTCTGAGATGCCGTGCGCAAGGTGGTCTGGCCTGTTTCGCACAAGACATTCTCGCAACTCTGAGCTCCCAGATGCTGCGCAAGAGGTGGTCCAGCCTGGGGGCCCAGAAGACCACATGTTACATATCCTCCCTGGGACCCTGGGAGCCCCAGGAGGCCCCAGAGAGCTCCAGGAGGCCGCAGGACGCCCAGGACAGGCCCCAGGGGTCCGCAGGAGATTCCCAGGAGGCTCCCAGGAGGCCCCAGGAGGCCCCCTATCAGAACGTGTCAAGTTAATACAAATCTGGTGTCAATTCGTTGATTTTTCCTGCTCTTGTGCCTCCCCCCCCCCTTCATTTTGAGAGGCCCAAGCGGCCACAGGTTAGATATCCCCCCCTGGGAGCCCCAAGAGGCTTCAGGAAACCCTATGTGGAGTCCAGGAGGCCCCAGGAGGCACCAGGAGGCCCCCGCAACTCGGAGCTCTGAGACGCCGCGCTCGAGGCGGTCCGGCCCGTTTCGCCTGAGACTTCCTCGCAGCACGTTTCGCCCGAGACACTGGCCCGTCTCGCCTGAGACACTTGCAACTCTGAGCTCTGAGATGCCGTGCGCAAGTTGGTCCGGCCCGTTTCGCACAAGACATTCTCGCAACTCTGAGCTCCCAGATGCCGCGCAAGAGGTGGTCCAGCCTGGGGGCCCAGAAGACCACATGTTACATATCCCCCCTGGGACCCTGGGAGCCCCAGGAGGCCCCAGAGAGCTTCAGGAGGCCGCAGGACGCCCAGGACAGGCCCCAGGGGTCCGCAGGAGATTCCCAGGAGGCTCCCAGGAGGCCCCAGGAGGCCCCCTATCAGAACGTGTCAAGTTAATACAACATCCGGTGTCGATTCGTTGATTTTTTCTGCTCTTGTGGCCCCCCCCCCCCATTTTGGGGGGCCCAAGCGGCCACAGGTTAGATATCCCCCCCTGGGAGCCCCAAGAGGCTTCAGGAAGCCCCAGGTGGGGTCCAGGAGGCCACAGGAGGCCCAGGAGGAAGCCCCAGGAGGTCACCAGGAGGTCCCAGGAGGCACCAGGAGGCCCCCGCAACTCGGAGCTCTGAGACGCCGCGCTCGAGGTGGTCCGGCCCGTTTCGCCTGAGACTTCCTCGCAGCACGTTTCGCCCGAGACATCGTCGCAACTCTGGGGTCCGAAATGCCGCGCGCGAGGTGGTCCAGCCCGTTACGCTGGAGACATCCTCGCAACTCTGGGCTCCGAGATGCCCTGCGCGAGGTGGTCCGGCCCATCTCGCCTGAGACATCCTCGCAACTCTGAGCTCTGAGATGCCGTGCGCAAGGTGGTCCGGCCCGTTTCGCACAAGACATTCTCGCAACTCTGAGCTCTCAGATGCTGCGCAAGAGGTGGTCCAGCCTGGGGGCCCAGAAGACCACATGTTACATATCCCCCCTGGGACCCTGGGAGCCACAGGAGGCCCCAGAGAGCTTCAGGAGGCCGCAGGGCGCCCAGGACAGGCCCCAGGGGTCCGCAGGAGATTCCCAGGAGGCTCCCAGGAGGTCCCAGGAGACCCCCTATCAGAACGTGTCAAGTTAATACAACTCCGGTGTCGATTCGTTGATTCTTTTCTGCTCTTGTGGCCCCCCCCCCCCCCATTTTGGGGGGCCCCGACGGCCACATGTTAGAGATCCCCCCCTGGGAGCCCCAAGAAGTTTCAGGAAGCCCCAGGTGGGGTCCAGGAGGCCACAGGAGGCCCAGGAGGAAGCTCCAGGAGGTCACCAGGAGGTCCCAGGAGGCCCCAGGAGGCCCCCGCAACTCGGAGCTCTGAGACGCCGCGCTCGAGGTGGTCCGGCCCGTTTCGCCTGAGACTTCCTCGCAGCACGTTTCGCCCGAGACATCGTCGCAACTCTGGGGTCCGAAATGCCGCGCGCGGGGTGGTCCAGCCCGTTACGCTGGAGACATCCTCGCAACTCTGGGCTCCGAGATGCCGTTCGGGATGAAGAGGAGGTGGAGGAGGAGGAGGAGGAGGAGGAGGAGGAGGAGGGAGGAGGAGGAGGCATGTTTTAACATGCCATGTCAGCCCGCACTGGACGGGCACGCAATCGACCTTGGAAACCGCAGTGGTCTAAAAACCCTGTTTGGGGATACTGCACTCCGGCTATTTTTTTTGTTATTTTTGAATATCCCCCTGTAGAGGGACAGGCAGGACTTAAAACTATCTCGTCGGTGAGCTTCACAAGCGCGAGCAGCTTAGCTTGGAGCGTCACCGCATCGCGCCCGGCGAGCGCCAAAAGCATTGCCGACAGTAAAAGCAACAAATATCGTGCGAGAGGGCGTCCTCGCTCAAGGACTTTCGAAGCCGCCTCGACAATTTTCTATATCGTCGGAGATCTGGCATTAAATCCCCCCCCAGTCAGCTCGGCTCTGCCGCTGCCACGCCGCCCTCTCCGCGCTTGGCCAAGCCCCCTCCAGGAGCCCTCCGGTCACCCTGCCACTGTGCTCCGGTGATAGCCGGGCCGTCCACCGCCCAGCCCTGAATCGGTCGATCGATCGAACTGATGCCTGCTCGGATCC